AGCCATGAGGGAGAGGCAGATAGGGGGCAGAGAAGTGTAGGGGGTGGAACAAGTGGTGGCAGTGGCAAGGAGCAGAAGTCAGACCACTTGACTCCCCCCAGGCTGCAATGGTTGAAGAATCTAATTATTGGGGGGTGGGAATCATCTTAAATTCAGAGTCGTTATGAATTCGGGTAAACATGCTACTTGTTCACATACAAGCACTACCACATACATTTAAAAAATGTGTACACCCTTGTAGCACAACTTCCAGGTAAGTTATGAGAACATTTCACAAGACCAGCATACATAAATAATCAGAGCCCATGTCTGTCATACACCCTTCTCCCCTCGCCTCCATGCTTCATATTTGCAGTCTTTCCTGAACCCCACATCATTTAAATATAAACATACACATATCCTCACTACTCCATCCTGGTCTCTCCCTTCTTCCAAGACGTCATTGACAACCACATTCATACATTTGTACTCCAAAGTCAGATTTCAGTTTTGTAGATGGTGAAGTGGTCCTGGAGAAGGGTGGACCTAGACCAGTTACCTTTGCTTTTCAATTCAATTTCCAGAGGACAGGAACAATTCACAAGTTGCCATGAGTTTAGCAAGGGATCACAAGCCTCTCGGAACACTAGGTTCCAAATGAATCACTTAAACAGCTTGTGCCTAAGTTTAGCATGTGGCTTGCACATATGCTTTTCAGACATTAACGATTCTTTTTTTGTTCCACCTCCTGAAAATGTCTGGGTTGAAAGATCATGTATTATATAGAAGTTCTTCTAGCACTGGCTTCTTTAAGACCTGTTTAAACTTTAAAAGATAGTAATCAGGCTAAAAATTTCTGGAGTTTTGTCTACACAAAAGCTCACACTAGAACTAGTATCATCAATTAATTCCCCATACAGTACAATTCATTTGTGAAGGCACACTTGTACATGCCTGGAAAACGCGCTCAATTATGACACAACAAGAACCAAAAAAGACTGAGAACTGTGCATAAGCGAGAGATAAAAGCTTTTTATTCTGCCAGTTAGGTTTATTTTTGTGAACTCCCGGTGCTTAATAAAGGTAATTGAAAAAAAGTCTTTGCTCAAGCATTAACTCTTTCCTCTTTCATTAAGATGCAAAAAACCCACCATTAGACTTATTTCTGACTCCCCTTCAAAAAAGTTTTGGAAGACCAGACTTGATATTACTGTACTTTATACATTTTATATGCATACTAAAAAGGTAGAAGAAAAACAGAATCATCACACACAGAGATTTTATCCAATTTTAAAGTAAATCTGAAGCACATAATTTCGGCACAGAAAACCATTGTGTCAACAGCTGAATTTCTACTGAAATAAACAAATTTCTCCAAATGAATGATTATTCCAACACTGTTTTGAATTCTGTATGAAAAAAATTGTTTCCAATTAATATTAATTGGGTTTTTTTGGCTAAAGTTAAAAACCAAACCCAAAACCCAAATTGAACATTTTAATTTGAAACAATGAAAAACTTGTCACTTTGTTTAAAATACCCATGTAAAACCCCCAAATTTCAGTTACAAATATAATAATTGGAAGTGCAGGTAAGTGAAGAAGCACAAGTTTTATGATAGATACCAAAAAAAAGGAATCCTAAATTGCAGACAGGATGTAAATTTCTTTCTTCCAGCTACTTAACAGCATTTCTTAAACCCTCTTTAATACAAGGCGTTCAGACAAAAAACTCCTTTTAAAGACCCAACCTCTGCACTCATGTATTTGAAGCCTGAGAAAGCTCCTAATTTATATCAGTGTCATCCAAGAAGTCAGCCAACAAAAACAGGAAAGACCAGACTTGACATTCCTAATACTTCTAAAGGTGCTTAACAAGCAGGGAATAAACCAAAATACATACCTCTTTTAGACAGCATTTAGCAGGAAAAAAAGGACATATCATTGTGTAGTCTTGGCAGGTGTTCTTTAGCCTAGCCTTCTAGAAACAGTGGTCTACAGCCAAAATGACAACTGTAAACCCACCCATCATCTCATTACAGTGATGTGTAAATTTTGAAATTTACATGAAAAGAATTTAAGTGTTGGGACAGCTCTTTGCTTAAACACACACAGGAAATTAGATGCAAAAATGCAACTCTAACACTTAAATACACAAAAGCCAGAAAGCAAGATGTTCCCATTAAGATGCACCTCAGCTGTCTATTAACTTACCTATATTGCACATATTATAGTTAAATGTACTTTTCATGGTAACCAGGGCAAAGCTAGATAATCTAATATTACCTACATGGAATGCTAATATTGCAATGAGAATTTTATTTTGTTTGCTGACTATTTAATTTCACTGTTTAGTTTTTAAGCATTTCACAGTGAGAGTGCTGGAGTGGTGCAAGGTGTGGTTCC